AAAATAGGTCTTGTGTATTTTAAATCTCTATTTTGAATTATAACTCATTCCATCATGTTTTTATAGTTTATTTATTTATTTATTGTCAATCATGGGGCTTGAAATCTGGGCCTGGGCACTGTCCCTCAGCTCTTCAGTTCAAGGCAAACACTCTACTACTTGAGCCACAGGGCCACTTCTGGTTTTCTGGTGGTTTAGTAGAGATAAGAGTCTCATGGACTTTGCTGCTCTGGCTGGCTTTGAACTACAATCCTCTGATCTCAGCCTCCTGAGTAGCTAGGATTATAGGCATGAGCCACCAGGACCCGGCCTGACTTTCTTAATTTTTAATAGAATTTTATTTTCATTATATTAAGATGTTGCACAGAGGAGTTACCATTTCATAAGTCAATACATGAGTACATTTCTTTATTGGACAATGCCACCTTTTCCTTTGCTTTCCCACAGTTTGTCCATCTATAGTTAATTTTTAGAGTTGAACAACCAACCCTAAAAGTTCCTGAAAACAACATACCAGATGAAATCCAGAGCATTTTTCTTATGGTACACTGCTGAGTTATAGTTGGCAAACAGGCATTAGTAGTTCTGAATTTTCCTAGGAAAATTTACTCTTAAATCTTTTAGCTATCATTTAAAAAAAATTGTATTTTCCAGCAATCCCAGGTTCCTATCATCCATTGAAAATACAAGTGTGAGAGCCTGGATACCAATGACTCATGCCTGTAATCTTAGCTACTAAGGCAGCTGAGATCTAAGGATCACAGCTTGAAGCCAGCCGAGAAGAAAAGTTGGTTAGACTCTTATCTCCAATTAACCACCAAAAAGTTGCAAGTGGAGCTATGGCTCAACTGGTAGAGCACCAGCCTTGAGTAAAATAGCTAAAAGACAGCGCTCAGGGCTTGAGTTTCAGCTCTAGTACTAATGAACACATGTACCCCTCCTCCCCCATACACATGAGAATATAAGAATGAGAATATAGACAAGGGAAAGCAGATTAGATTTAGAACAAACCTTGGCCTTCAATTTTGGTCTTACTGCTCAACAACAGTATGATTTTCACATTGTAATCAATGACATCCTGGGGTTTTGTTTTCCAACATGTCAGAAGTAATTAGACCACATAGGTCTAGAATAGTATGATTCATTACTTAGTCCATCAATCCAGTAACTATTTGCTTAGTGCCAATTATATACATACCAGTTACAGACTCACTAGAAATAAATACAAATATAATAACAGTTATTAATATAATATCATCTCACCTTGATGCAGAGCTTTCTAACTTACCAAAGAAACATTTTACCTCAGACCTATGAGGTTCTGTGGCTTTAGAAGATCAAGATGCCTCTCAACAGAATGTTGTAGACAGAATAACCTGTTCTAGAAGAACTAAAAGAACCTTATCCTAGGAAACGCAAGAGGTCATGACCAGGTAGAAATAAGAAATAAGGAACAAGCACTTTTTTTTCCCCTGTCATGTCTATCAGTTGCTTTGCTTTGTTTTAAGAAAGAAGCCAAAAATATCGGAAAAAAATCTCATTATAAGATTATTGTAGGAAACTAAGAATGTGTAAGAAGTGTAAAATAAGAAGAAAATATATCAAATCAAGTGTTCTGTTTTTCTTATTTCATTATCATGTGTTTCAAACTATCCTTAGTAGTCATTTCCATTGCTATTTATAATTCTATTTGTATTATACAGTAATTTTACTTACTCGATGTCCTATTGTTGGGTATTTAAATTGATAGTTTTAATTATGATACACTGGGTTAAATAGCTTGTTTAATATAGAGATTGTATGTTGCACATATGGTTTCCAACTGTGCTATAGTTTTAGCAAGCAATGTATTCTAATCTGATTCTGCTAATACTGTTTGAATACACCTAGGTTACATTCTTATTCTAAACACTTATTAAGAGAAAGTTGTTGCTTTTTTTCTTCCCTGATTACTTCAATATGATACATTTGAACTGGAAGTAGAACTAATGCTCTCATATTATTTGAAGTAGAAATGATAACGTGGATGGTTAACAGATTTTAATTTTTCACTTTCTCTGGGAGATAACCTTTGTCTAGTAAAAGTTTATTAGTTTATAATATCTATTGAGTATGGGGTTTATTAGTTTATAAAGTGCCCAATAAATGTTTAATAAATAAGAAGATTCAATCTAATTTTAGGATAAACAAAAGCATTTGAGAAGGTTGTTTTATAAACCCACACCTCCATTTGTGGTAATGGCTTGGTTTTCTATTACCATAGATGACAGCTGAGCAGAGGTGAGGAGTTCCCACTGTTCAATGATGTCTGTGAAGTATGTTATTATTTGAATTCACCTACATGGAGAACCATGACTTAAATAGTTATTTGATTAAATGCTAATGAGATCTGCTAAATTGACCAAACTCTTACTTTTATGTACTAGACATGTCAATTAAAGTAAGACCAGTTTCACATCTTTCCTTAACAACATTGTGTTGACCTCTGCTTACTAGGGAAGTGTTGTGACTTCAGTAGTTACTTAAATATTGATGGCTCCATTAAAGAGGCTGGAGGTTTGCTGCTGGAAGATTGAAAAATTAGATGGCAGAATTGGTTTCTTGTTTCTGCCCCTAAGGGAGAAAATAACCCCAAACCCTCTTACTGGAAGTGCTTCTTCCATTATTTTTTTTAAAGAGCACATTTTGATTGTTCTGAACCAGAGCAGAGCTGTTGATTTCAGACATTCTTTTATAGTAGTTATACTACTAAAACATCAGTGTATATAACAAGTTCATATAATTAATTTTTCTCAACAGTACCATGATGACATTACCCTTGGACTTCTTGGGGTCTTAACTTCAGCTTCTAAATTCATTTTGTTCTTTATTATACTCAATAATAATATGCAAGGAAAACCCCATGTTTTAGCTTTATACTGTATTTGGACAGGCTTGTTTATATTAACTGTGAAAAAATTCTATTAAATTAACCCAGAGAGACAAGGGTCATATATTCAATCAATTATGATTATATTCTTTTTTCTTGATGGAGAAATGTGGCTGAAAAGCTATCTAAATTTGCTACAACCAATATTGTCATATTATTGCAAATTGGATTAAGTTCAACATGTGGCTAATAGATTTTTTTTTACACATTTTACACTTGAAAGATGTTCTAGTAGCTTGGCATTTTAAAGCATGGGAAATCAAAAGAGCATTGTATTTGCATAATGGTATATTTTTTTCTTGCATCTAGCTATCTGAGCAAATGGTGCATTTAGCCATTTAATGTGTCTTGTTTAGAATTTAAAGCTAAGAACTTAGATCATGCTTAAGTCAAAGTGGCACTGAGTAGTGGGATGGCTGCCGTAACTACTACCAACTGCTCAGCAGGGCTGGGATGATGCTGAGGTGTGGGGAGGGGGACCTGCCTCAAGAGGATCATTTAAAAGAATGACAGAAAACCTCAGTATCAAGGTAAATAGTGTATTCATTCAGTATTTGATAAAAGTCTATACAAAGCAAAAACAAATTTATGATTAGTAAGAAAAGTCAGAAATGTCACTGGGATTTCACTGGCCCTAACAGAGGACAATTCCTATTTTTTCTACTTTCATGTTCCTGAATGAGGCAATCCTTTGAATCACAGTTTCCTTACCTAAAATTGACGATAATCAACCATGCTTTCTTGGTGGTGTTTTAGAAGACTTAAATAATCTAGACACACACACAGGGAATACCATTTTAAATGCCATTTTTGCATCTTTGTATTGTTTAGGTTACTCACTTTGTGATTGTAAGTCACTATGATGATTAGCCTGATGAATAATCTAAGCATATATCAGATTGCAAGATAACTGGAAAACTTTGCTACTACTAAATGTTATGACTTAGTATCTTGAATTTACTTACCAGATAGCAGTAAATGTGAAGGGATTTGAAAATACTTGTGGGATTCCCCCCCTTTCTTCTTTTTCTTGTGTCCTTATTATCTGTTTTAGAAAAGTAATAAACAACCCACGATGCTGAATCATTCAAATTTATTTTGACAGTTTAATAACAAGGAACCTAGTACTGAAATGTGATTGTTTTGCCACAGATTTCATAGTTAGATTGTAGGTTTTAGTGATTTGTAAGAGATGAAAGGGATAACCAGACATCAAATCCATTGCTGTGTGTGTGTGTGTGTGTGTGTGTGTGTGTGTGTGTGTGTGTGTGTGTGTGTGTGTGTGTGTGTGTGTGTGTGTGTGTGTGCCAGTCCTGGGGCTTGAACTCAGAGCTTTAGTCCTGCCCCTTAGCATTTTTGCTCAATGCTGATGCTCTGCCATTTGAGCCTCAGCCCCACCTCCAGCTTTTTGCTGGTTAACTGGAGATAAAAGTTTGCAGGACTTTCCTGCCCAGGCTGGCTTTGGGTAGCCAGGATTATAGGTATGAGTGATTGGCATTCACCTTTATCACTTATTTTAAAATTCCCTGAGAAGTGCTCATGGACACTAGACATCTCACATTTGCTCAAGCTGGCCCATGGTTGCACCATGACCCTTTGCACATTTCTGCAATTTGTCTGTGTTCCACCCACCATTTATTTAATTTTCTCAGTAAGGCCTTCCTGCAACATCTTACTGAATGTACTCTCAATCCCTTGCCTTGGTTTCCTGTAATGGCAGGATGGTTTCTACCACTTATTGGTGATCAATTAATAGAGGGGTTTTTGTTGTTGTTGTTTTGCAATCTAACCGTCCATCAAATTTGCTTTCCAGATGACATTTTAAAAATATAAATTATTGTCCAGTTTCATTGTAAATCCTTTGAAGAATTCCCTCTCTAGATTGCCAGGGTCAGAATGAGGAAGGGTCAGTTTTACATATTACAATTTAATGATAATGTTCAAGGGCCTGTGTATACACAATGAAATGTTTTTGAGTGAATGAATGAATTTCTTGTGGGTAAAAGGGCTAGCAAATGCTTTTCTGATTCCCTTGTGGAATGTTGTCATTTTCCTCTTAGATCCAGAAGGCATGGCTGGTGTCATGTGGAAGGTGATTGTTTTGTTGGTCCTCTTGATGGTCATCCCTGGTGATGGTCTGTTTCGCTCCTTGTACCGCAGTGCCCAGGTTTCTGCGCCTCCTACGGGAAATGCAGGAAGGCCCTTATATCTTACTCCTTATATTGAATCTGAGATGATCCAGGAAGGTGAGTTTAAGTCAGAAAATCGTTGGTATGCTTTCTATATTTCTTTTTTAAAGCTCTTACCCCAAGGTATGCAAAATACATTTCACTACTTTTACTCAATTGTTTTATTCCAAATATTCATGATTTGGTATCATCTATTGTCTGAGTTTTAAGCCAAAATGAGAAATAATGACAGTTGGATTATTTGCCTAGTTGCATTGCAGCATTTTCTTTCCTTCTTTTTAGTTTTGTTGATTGATTTTTTTTTGAGACACTGGGATTTTAACTCAGGGTCTCTTGCTTGCTAGACAGCCTATCACTACTTAAGGAATGTCCTCAGTCCTTCACCTGTTTTTCAAATAGGGTCTTGCTTTGTGCCTGGGCAGGTCTGGCCTTGATCCTCCTATTTACACGTCCTGAATAGTTAGAATGGTAGGCATGTACCAACATGCCCGGCTTTTTATTGGTTCAGATGAGGTTTCTTGAATTTCTTGCTTAGATTGGCCTTGAACCACTATACTCCCATTCTTAACCTCCCAAGTAGCTAGAGTTATAGGCATTAAATTACCACATTGAGCCAGAGTTGCAACGTTTCTATTTATGAAATGAGTGAATGCCGGTCCCCCAGTACATTGGCAAGGCTACTACTACTAGCCTTGAAATGTAACTATATATTAAGCTTAGCATTCTGCATAAACTCATTTACACATCTCAACAGAGGGCAGTGTGCACATTTCACTCGTGTGAAAACAACATCAGAAGAAAGCGAAATTACTTGACAGAGCTCACATAAACACCAGCTTGTGGACATTAGCTTTATGCTCTCACAGTGACCCATACCCACTCTATTGTACCCCTCACCTGCCAAGTACAGATACAGCTGAGACCTCAGCTCCTTGTTGATAAGATGGAAATTTAACAGCTCACTCAACTTTCAGGAAAGTTATGAAAAGCCAGTGAGGCGGGGAAGAAAATGGCTTTATTTCTAAATTATATGTTTTACTATTAGAATTATTGTACCAAAAAAGAAGTAGGTTTCATTTGGAGTAACCAGAGACAAAATTTATAATATGAATCTGCTCTTAATGTGTTGAGGTAAGTTACTTTAGTGACTTTAATTGACTTGATCTTTTCTTGGCAGGAAACTTAGTAGACCCCTGCACTGTATAATAAAATATTCAGATAGCCATTTTGAAAACTGTTCAGAAAGGAAAGCAGAGAGGTGGAGTGGTCACCAGAGGGAGCAGTGGGGTCAGGAAAGGGTCTTTAATGAGGACAGGAGAGCCAGGTGGCTCACACCTGTATTCCTAGCTACACTGGAAGATGAGATCTGAGGGTCATGGTTCAAAGCCAGCCCTGGCAGAAAAGTTCATAAGACTCTTACCACCAATTGACCAGTAAAATCCAGAAATGGAGGTGTGGATCAAGTGGTAGAGGACTGGCCTTAAGTTAAAAAAAAAATCCTAAGGGAGAGCATGAGGCTCTGAGTTCAAACTCCAGGGCACCACAAAATTAAGTTTGCTGATAGAAATGATGGGTTAAGTGGTGTTGGTTAGAGCAACCAATGCTGGAAGTGTTGAATAGAGAAAATATAGAGGAGAGACATTTGCTCAAGGACAACGCCAGCCCTGTCCAGGGGTTTGTGCCTGTGCAGCTAGTAGATTGGTAGATGGGAAGGGGCACATGATAAAAGAATTCTGGAGAAATTATCATTTTAAAGATAAAGAATAACTATACCTACATACTCCAGAATGAAGTTTAAAAGAAAGCAAATGTTCATCCATTTCAAGTGTTCCCACAGCCAATAAGATGCCATCTATTTCTGTTTTCTTTAAAAGTCAAGACATTTTTATACTTTAGGATTTTTTGTTCTGCTTATGTCTTTTTCTAAAACACACTAGCTGACACGCCATCTCTTTTCTAAAGGAAGGTAAATACTCTTTGATGATGTATTGAATGTATTCTAAAAAGGCTTTATTTTCCCTTGATGTAAAAAGCCATAAAAAGATGGTTGGCAGCCTTAAACAAATCCAAAAGGGCAGCAAGTCAAAGTCAGCATGTGACTGAACTTACCACATTGGGTCATATGCACCCATTTCTGCTTCCTCATTAGGGTCTGATGGGCCACATTCTGCTCACTAACAATAATCACCTCAAATCTTTACGTGAGAGCTAAAGAGAAATTAAAATACTCATTACAACCACGTCCTATCTGCATAGGGGCAATCAAGATGTACGTAGGTCATATGACTTCCCAAAGGGATGCAGATAATAAAGCTAGCATTGCAGAGACTGGAGGACATGCAGCTTTTCCCCCTTCTTCTCTGTGCTTGCCTGCTATAATTTATTTTCATTTGTCTATGAAGCTATTGTTTTCTGAAGTGACCAGGTGCACATATGTGAAACAATGAAGGAATAAGGCAGGGCATAATAAAATGCTAAAGTACTCCAACCAAGCAGGAAGTTTTGAGCAGTAAACTGTCATTTGACATAACTCAAGGAGAAAATAATAATAATAATAGAGTATTAAAAAGCATAAACAATTAACATTTAGCAATTATATCCCTAATACTTAGCACAAGTACCTGTATGTAATAGGCACATAATAATACTTAAGACCAATATGGCTAACAAATATGAGTAAATCTGAGTTCTAACCATGTCCCAGGCATTGTGTTTTACAACCATTAGCTTATTTACTCCTCAGAGGAACTCTAATGAAGAATATGCAGTTATGATTCCCATTTTGCACACAAGAAAACTAAGGCATTCTCTTCCAGAGCTTTGCAACTACTAATTATCAGAGATAGAATCATAACCTATGCCTGCTAGCCCCAGAGCCTAGGCTGTGGACTGCTGTACTGTGCCTAGCCCCAGATAGGATGGTGCTATGTGAAACTTGGGGAAATAGAGGAAGATCTGAGTGTGTACCAAATGAGGGAAACAGCTTAAGGGTGAATGACTACCGTGTGTCTGTGTCCTGCACCTGTTAGAACCAGGAATATTGGGAAATCTACCTGAGAGATTGTCTACATCCCTGCTGCTCATCTTTTCTTGCTTATGGACATCAATGGCTATGGACTAAGTAATATTGGAGAAAGATACTAGGAGGTGGTTTTGTCTTCTATCTTTCCATAGCATGCCCGGCACATCTTCATCTTATGAATGACAATGTTTAAGATATAAAACCTGTACCTATTGTCACTTTCTCATGTTCTGTTATACAGTCAAAATCTTTGGATGGAATTTTAAGTGACTGATCCAAAGCTGGTACATCTGGGTATTCAGATGTGTCCCTGACAACATAATTAAGGATAATTATATTCATTTGCTGTGGAAGTTCAGGAAGCTCTGGACAGATGGTCAGCTTGCTTCCTGCAATCCTTTTTGTTTATCGAGTTTGTCAAAACTCCAGAAACGTGAATCTTAATATCACAATAGAACATTTTTTTTTGGAGATGAACAGTAGTTCCCAAAACCACAAGGGAAATTTTTATTTTCTCCTTTCGTTCCCAATTAGCTGGCTTAATTTTATGTAATTGTAATTACATGTTTACTTTCTCTGCAGCTAGAATAAATCCTTATTTTCTGGAACAAAATGTAGGAGGCAAATTTTAACATGTTTACAAACAGGACATTTTCACAAACTTTAAAGAAAATTTTGCAGTTAGCCCTTATGTATTATTGTTGTCTGGTGAAATTTTGTACTGTACTGTATTGGGGATAACAAATGTTTTGTGCACCCAGATTAGCTGGTGCTAGCCTTTCTTTGGCCATACTCCAATCTTTTTTCAGGGGAGCGAGGGCAGTCATGGGGCTTAAACTTGGGGCCTGAATGCTGTTCTTGAGCTCTTTTGCTCAAGACTAGTGCTCTAACACTCTGCATCACAGCTCCACTTCCAATTTTCTGGCAGTTAACTAGAGATGAGAGTCTCACTGACTTTCCTATCCAGGCTGGCTTTGAACTGTGATCCTCAGATCTCAGGTTCCTGAATAGCTAGGATTATAGGCATGAGCCACCAGCTCCCAGTTGCTCCAATAATTTTGCAAGTGTTAAATCACAAAACTGTTACCAACAGTAAATAACAAAGGGAGAAGTCAAATCACTTCTAAGAAAACCTTTTCCTTTTCTTAAAAAAAACAAAAAACATTTACATGGTGAGTCACAGTGTCAGAACGAGAAAAACACCTACATCTTGGAAATTTTCCACATTCCATTAATAGACTGGAAAGACGAAAAACAATCAAAATATATGAAAAGTTTTTTTTTTCTTTTTATTTTTGTGTCAGTCCTGGGGCTTGAACTCTGGGCCTGGGTATTGTCCCTGAGCTCTTCAGCTCAAGGCTAGCCCTCTACCACTTGAGCCACAAGCCACTTTCGGTTTTCTTAGTGGTTTATTGGAAATAAGAGTCTCACGGAGTTTCTTGCCCAGGCTGGCTTTGAACCGCAATCTTCAGATCTCAGCCTCCTGAGTAGCTAGGATTACAGGCATGAGCCACAGGCGCCTGGCTGTTTTTTGTTTGTTTGTTTGTTTATTGCTTTTGTTTTCTAACTTTTGATTATTTTACCGTGACTGGATGAATGGGAATTTCAAACCTTTCACTAAGTAAAACACTTTTTTCATGGACTACAGAAAAGATCTAAATTTCTTAAGAGATCTTCAAGGTCTTGTCTTCCCTAGGGGAATGTAAATTAAGCCAATGCACAGTCTATCTGACCTGCTAAGTTCATTCATTTTCTTTCCAGCCATCCTTTCATTAGCATTCATTCATTAAAAAGTGTTCTTTGCTGTGTGAAACAGCATGTATCCCAGGAGTTACACAGACAAATAAGAAATTCTCTGCTTGCCAGTAGCTCCCAATGGAGGAGAAAAGGGATCAAATGTGCCTAACTACCAGGTAACAGAGAAGCAACTTTGGCTTCCCAGAAGGGAGGGATGAGTAAGCATCTGACTCAATTTCTGGCAGGCCAGCAGAACCTGTGCTGTGCTGGTGTCTGAGACAGATTGATTCAATCATCTCTCACCCATATTCCATTCCCTCCAGCTCTTTCCTATTATATATTTTCTCTTTTTCTTATTATACTTTGACCTCTCTCATTTTTCTCTGTCTTCTTTCTTGAATTACCTTCTGTCCATTTACCTTTCTCTGGTCCAAATCTCACCTATTTCCAACCCTCAGTTTTTACTCATTTGCTCCCCTGATTTCCTCTCTCAGGGGTGGAGTGAGATGTGTCTGATGATCTTTTTATGAGTTGAAATTAAAAATAAAGAAGAAAGAAATAACAGTTGGTCAGAATAATGAGGGAATAAGAAAACACCAGCAAACATCACTTTTCCCCAGATTCCTCCTTTTCCTTTGTTCTAGAATTCTCTGTCTTTCCTTGGCTGTTTTCTTCTGTGTGGGGTCTTAATCCACTTTCTGCTGCTATACGTGATGGACAGAGTAATTTGCAAAGAATAAAAGCTTATTTCAGCTCACAGAATGGAGGGCTAGGAAGTTCAAGATTGAAAGCTGAATCTGGTGAGGTCCTTCTTGGTGGTAGTTACTATGCCGAGTACTGAGACAGCCTCGGGTATTACACTGAGACCAAAGTTCCTAGCTCAGGTCTCTCCTCCTTTTCTTGAAAAGCAACAGTCCCATTAAATGATAGACACACCTTTAGAATTTCATTTAATTACCTTCCCAGTACCCTACTTTAAAGTAGCATAATCAAATTATTAAGTTTAGATTCTCTTGCTTCACCACAATGGATAAACATCAATATGAAGTGTTTTTTTGTTTTTGATTTTGTTTTGTGCTGGTACTGGGGTGTGAACTCAAGGTCAGGTCTCTATTCCTTAGCTTTTTCTTACAAGGCTGGTGTCCTACTACTTGAGCAACATACCTCTACTTCTGGTTTCTTGTTGGTTAATTGGAGATAAGGAATCTTTTGCAGGTTAATTGGAGATAAAGGATCTTATGGACTTTTCTGCCTTGGCTGGCTTTGAATCATGAGCATCAGATCGTAGCCTCCTGAGTAGTTTAGGATTACAGGTGTGAGCTTTGGCTGAGATATTCAAGCCCTGACAGGAGAGATAAGTGACCTTTCTTTGCAGCTCTGCAGAGTTTGCAATAGATTACCTACCCTGGGAGAACTGGGCTGAGATAGAATCTCCCTGAAGTCTAGACTTCATTTAAGATGACCATCCACTAAGGATAACCACAACTCCCATTGGATACATTCTCATTTCCAGTCCAACTGCCTGCTCAGTGTGATCATCAGCATGTTCTTATTGATGCTCACAGAAAGGCTCTTCCACCCTGTATGGATGGAGTCAGTGTCTATATTTTCCACAGGAGGAGAGGCTCAGAGGTGAAATGATTTTTGGGAACTCTTGTTAGGATTATAAACCAAATTTGTCCCAATAGGGAACCAATGCTCTTTTTACGGTGCCAGCCCAAGTAGGACTTCCAAGTTTCTGCCTATTGAGACCCTTCCTCTGTCTCCACCTCCTCTGCTCCCAGCCACTGCTCATTGTGAGTGTACGCATGTCACAGACGACTTTTCTTTGTAGACTTTTGTATGGAAACTTTTTGACCCTTGGAACCCATGAAGAGTCCACTTTTCATAAATTGGAGGCACAATGCCTGCCCAGAGAGCCACAAAGCTGCCCACCTATGCTAAGCCCAGCATAGTATTAGGGAGAGGGAGCTGTGTTCTAGAGGAGATTCCTCTTTCGGGAGGCATGCGCATTTTAAAAGAGAAGCATGTGTCCTCAAAGCCGTGGTGTACTGGGGACAGGGTAGCAGGGAGGACTTTTAACACCTATTCTCTTAGGTGTAAATATTCTCTCTGTGCTGATTTCTCCCCATGGATCCATGATGGGAGGTAGAGGCTCACTCACACTTCCAGAGCTCATCACGGAGCCCATCTGTAGTTGGTAGCAGTGTGAAGGGATCAGCCTTTCTCCTTTATGCATCCCTATTAAATAGCTTTTCTGTAGGGATTTAGCATTTACTGGAACCCATTCTTTCTCTCTACTAAAGAACTCTTCTCCCATCAAACTTCTATTTCCTTCCTATTCCTTGCTACTCACTTTTCCTTCCTTCTCCACTCCTTTCCCAATCACCACTCCTCCAACTTCTCGTTACTTAGATTTTCAATAATGTCTAATCCAGCATCGCTGTGACATGCAGGAATAGGAATATCCCTGCAGTCCGACTGCTAAATAGACTTCCCAGCTCTCCATTTCCCACTGTGTGACTTTGGGCACGTTACTAAACCTCCCTGTGCTTTACTTTTCTCATCTGTGGAGATAATAATTACATTTCTCTCGCATAATATAAAGCCCTTTGGACAGGGGTCTGGTGAGTGTTATCTTTATTAGTATTGCTTATTCCTGGACATCGTTGACTGTCTAGACATTCTCTCTTTGTCACTTTGCTACCACAATAAGAAAGCCAGGACCTCTGCTCTCTGTCTCTTTCCTGTTGTCCTGTTTGGTTCCTTCTGAGTATGTATGAGGTCACCTCTTGCCTGCCCCCCTACTCACCATCTTCAATCACCTCAACTGGTCAGGTGCTTCAATCTACTGCCTTTGGAAGACATGGAAGGCTTTTGCTGTCCTGAAAAGGAGACTGTGGCACACGGACTCTCCAAGACTGAAAGTTGTGTGCCTACATTAGCTTCCCTGCACCTCACTCTTATGTGTTAGGTGACTTTATCTTCCCTTTTCTTGATAGCCTAAGATGAGCACCTTGGTTGAAAAAGATGTTACGGTAAGTAATAGGTTTTTCTTTCAAAAGTTTTTTTTTAATAAAGCTCATAAAGTGTTTTTTGATCCTACCCCCAGAAAGGCTTAAAACTTTCCTTTGCTCTTGGGGTAACTGTGAATGGGGAATATGTAGGATCTATGAGAGAGGGGACTAGGATCTGCTAGGTTGTTGCTTCTCCTGCTAAGTCACTCACAGCCTTCTGATTTACCTTAGCCCACGTCTGGCTGCTCAAAGGGAAATCTCACTTAGGTGAAGAAGGCTCATATGACATAATTTTTAATCTTTGGGTAATTTTTTTTCTCCTCACTAGGGAAAAGATCGAGTTTGGTCATTCCTTTTCAAGGAATTAAAGTGAAGAGTTTCTCCGGCTACATCACCGTGAATAAGACTTACAACAGCAACCTCTTCTTCTGGTTTTTTCCAGCTCAGGTAGGCTCAGGGGGTACCCAGCAGAATGAACACCTGGGCGCAGGCTTGGACCAAGGAGGAAAAATGTTAGCCTACTGACCTCAGTTTTTTGTTTTTTTTTTTAAGAAAAAAGGAACAACGATCTTTTAAAATTGTAGCCTAAAAATAAGTGCTAGCATTCCTGTTTGCATGATATTCCTGTGTAAAGGCAGGAAACAAATGTTTGTGGAGGTACTGGAGGGGATCCAACCTTTTAAATTTCTTATAAGCTTATTTGGGATATTAATACAATCAACATCTTCCTGTTTCTTGCTATCTTTTAGTTGTTTTAATTTAAAAACACTTGGGGAATGGGTGGGTACTGAGGAGCCAAAGGAATGGAAGATGGCTAAAAATACCAGGAATTATATGTTGCAGCCTATGTAGACTTAGCCCTCCTTAGCTGACTTGTCTGCGGAGTGGAGCAATCCCTATAGACACAAGTGGGAATGTATGAAGGTCACAGGATACTTCTTCATGAACAAGACACTTTAAAGGTAGGGGATCTGCTGGGCATATCAATAGAGGTGTTGATCTGCATAAGCAAATTTTATCCCATGATAGGGTAATTTTCAATTTCAATTTGCCAAATTGGATTTGCTTTTGAAGCCAGAGAAAGCAAAGAAAACTCTATCCCTGTGGAGAGTGGTATTTATATTTGCATATGATTTGCATACAGCACTGTTGCATATATAATAGCTGGGTAAACTGTTTACTCTAGGGTCATTTCTAGGTTAAATTGTTTTTATTGGTACTGTTGGATGTGTTTTTTGACTTCTCAACCAATTGGCCTCTTACGTAGTTGACCCCAAGGAAGTCTGTTCTCCTGTGAACTGGGTGGGAAGGAAGCATGTGAGGAATGGAGAATTCCAGATACTTTTCAGTTGGGTCCACAATAGTTCTTACTGGAAGGTTCTCTGGAAGGTGTTTTGAATCTCTCTGTCTCTGTCTCTCTCTGTCTCTGTCTCGTCTGTCTGTCTGTCTGTCTGTCTCTCTCTCTCTCTCTGTGTGTGTTTGATGCTAGGGTTTGAACTCAGGGCCTGTGCATTGCCATTTAGCTTTGTTCTCTCAATACCACTTGATCTACAGCTCTCCTTTCAGGTTTTTGGTGGTTAATTGGAGATAAGAGTCTCATGAATTTTCCTGCCGTACTAGATTTGAGCTGCAATTCTCAGAGCTCAGCCTCCTGAGTATCTAGGATTACAAGTGTGAGCCATTGGTGCCCCGCTTTGAATACATTTCTTAGTTCTTCTTTGTTGCTACTATTCTATGAGGTGAGTGAGGTGTGGAGAGAGCAAACTATAAGGAGATGCTCTGTCTCAGATTGGAGTAAGAGCAAGGTCAGCACCTGAGTGTCAGCGTGCTCCTGTCTCCTTCTGGACCCATCTCTGGACCCAGTTGAATCCAGAGGGCCTGGGAGTCTGAGATGTGGCCCATAGAACATTCTATCAGGGCCAAGTACAGAACAGAGAGGGTAGATAATGGACCCACAGGAGTAGTCAGGAAAGTGACCAGTCCACAAGCCTTAGAGGCTTGACACAATTAAGTCTAAACTATGACCTCATTGTAACAAGTGGAAAGGACTCTGAGTTTTCTTCCCTCTCTCTATTCCTCTCTTCTTTCTTCCCTCTCCCTCCCTTCTTTCCTTTCCTTCCTTATTTTCTTTTAGGTTACAATTGTATTTATTTCAAAACTCAGGTTTGTACTCAAATCCACAACTGATTTGAAGTTTCGGTGAAGTTTTTATTTTCAGAATCATGTTTCCTGATTTTTCCACCTACCTGTATTTCTGTATTATATGTGTACTATTCTGTACATCGTAGTTTACTATCACATCTCTCAATGTTGATTGCAATCATTCATTATTACTTAGACTTAGTTTTCTGTGGCCGCTATAACAAATTGCCACAGATTTGGTGTGTTGAAACAAGATACATGTTATTGTCAGTTTATTTATAGGTCACACTGGTCAAAATTCAAGGCACAGGCAGGGTTGTGATCTCCCTTGATGCTCTAAAGGAATTCCTTACAACTGTTTCTACCTGCATCCTTGGCTCTCAGTCCTTTCCTCTACCTTGAATGCCTGCAATGGAAGATTGAATCCTTCTCAGATTGCTTCACCCTGCTCTTCTCCATGCCTTCTCTGACTCATCTTCTGTTTTCTTCTACTACTCTTAAGAACTAAGGCAAGACAATCTTATCTCAAGATCAGATGATTCATCACCTTAATTCCATTAGAAGTTTGACTTCCCTGTGTTTAACACGGTAACAGGATCCTAGGATCAAGATATGACCATCCTTGAAGAACTGTCCTATGTAAAATGAATTTTTGACAATTTTCTCTTTATTAGTGATTCTCAACATGTTATTTACTGGTGATTCTCAGGTTTGATTGTGTTTAAAAACTACCTCTGACTTTACTCAGAGGTTCAGAGGGAAGAAGCTCTGTAATTGAGAGAATCCCACAAGTTGCAGAATTACCAAGTAGACCATGCTTTGGGAAACCATTTCTCCAGCCTATGGACCACTGCCCTGTGCCCATAGCTTCAGCTCAATGGTGACCCAATGGTGACTCAATGGTGATGGAGTGAGTGTCCTATCTCTTGCTGCCATATAAGGTGAGAGTCAGAATGGGAGTCTGACAAAGCAAGTGTTACCTTTGGCGGTCAGTTTTCCTATTCCACATGGGATTTTACTCAGACCTGCTAGGGTTTACTTTCTCTCACCCACCCTCCCACCCCACCTTTCTGTTACACTCTACACTCCCAACCTCACCCCAGCCGGGGAAGCTTGATCTCCTCCTTTCCCTTCTGCTTTTTTCAGTCAGTTCTGGATGCTAAATTGCTTTAGTACTGATTCAGATTTGTGAAAATAATGATGGATGGTGCAAGAAGAAATCAGACAGAAACAAAGCAAAATCCTAGAGTTTTTTTTTTTTTCTTCTTCTTGCTTCTGTTGCAGTTTTGTCTGGAATGCATGGGATCTGCAGTCATTGTCAAGTTGCTGAGAGGTGGGGGGGGGTGTAGATTCTGCACTGCTTGCTGGATGCATGACTGAGGTCTAAAGCTATTTACAATGAACAATGGTGGGCCAGTCGGTTGTTAGTTTCTTCCCCTTAATTAAGTGAAAACCTTGCTATGTATCTACTAGCCAGGTTATGTTCTTTTGGGTCCAGTAAATGGTCATAAACACATCCTAAGATAACCCTGGAAGACATGGACAGGAGGCAGTCACAACAGGAAAGAAAGCCTTTAAGCATAGTGATCATTTAGAATCATTTGACAAGCTTCAGGAAGAGGGGCCGAGTTCTATAAAAAGACTACACTACAGACAGGTGTTGCTGGCAGCTGGGATAGCTTGTCCCTTACTGGGAAGGCCACATGTAAAGCCAAGTAGCTGATGCTTCCAGCTGTAAGTTAATGGAACAGAACCAGTTTGGGTGAAACAGATAAAAAAGGCTGTGAGAAGGAAAAGCAGTGGTCAACAAGACAAGGGAGAGTCTCTTTCACTTGGCAGAAATATGAGTTCCTTGCCTGTCATAGGGAAGCAGCTGACATTGTCATCAGTAGAGAAATGACCCTTCAAACAATAATAAATAAAGCAGAGAAAAATAGAGATCCAGGAAGGATGCCACACTTGTAATATCCTCTGAGTAATTTTCTAGGATGCTGTTTCTCAAATTAGTTTTGTTTTCCTGTTATTTCTGTGAGACTCTCCTGTTGTTGTATACAAATCAACGCATAATGAATTCTAGAAGTCAAAATTGTTGGTGTGCAGGGGGAATGCTGCAGAAATGAATAGCGTTCTGCATGGGGGGAAATGCACAAAGCCAGTAAAAATGCAACCATCAGGCCAGCCGGGGCCAGGCACACTGCAGGTGGGAAGCCCTTATTTGTGAGATAGGACTTGCATGAGAACTGTAGGCAGGAATTCTTCCCATATAAGCTACACCTTTTCTTTGTTCAGGGAGCCACTGGCTTCATTGCTTTTTGTCAGAGCTAAATCTCTCTGATTAGCTGTTATACACACACACACACACACACACACACACACACACACACACACACACACACACACACTTGGGGATGGGTCACTTGTGACTGTGATTCCCTACTAGCTAGCTAGGAGGACTTTAGTCTGAAGCAAGCCTTGGGAAAAATAAAGCCCCTATCTGAAAAATAACTTAAACAAAAAATGACCAGGGGCACGGTTCAAGTCATAGAGTGCCTCCTTCAGTAAGCACAAGGCCCTGGTTCAAACCCTAGTATTGCTAAAGCAAACAAGCAAACATACAAACAAAAGTAGCGTAGGAAAAGTTTTTTTTAAAGGAGCCTGGGATGCTATCGTTCAGTGAACATTGACTACTTGCTAAATTGTTTCTTATTTTCTCCTTACAAGAACCTCATGAAGAAGCCATTTTTTTCTTCATCTTATAAATGAGGAGGATGACAGAGAGTAAACAATTAACCTCAAACTATTCAACTAGAATGGACAGAATTGGGACTTAATGCTTCAAAGTTGTAGGCCTGTCCCAAAGAAACATAGGTCCCATGGTTTCCCTTATTTGCAATAACCAGTGTATGTCTGAGTCAAGCAGAAAAGGTCAGATAAGTTGATGTTAGGGAAATGAACCCCAAGATAAGTATTCAAATGTTTTTTTTTCTTTCATGCAATTGTTTCTAATATATTTATAAGATGATTTCTTTGTTGCTTTGTATGTCCCTCCCCCACAGTATAACCCCTGCTTTTACTGTATTTGATGTTGGTATAATTTGTGGAGGGGAAGGGCAAAAACAAATAGTTTAAATAGGATACAGGTGGACCCATTGCAACAATGAGGTGTACAAGTTGTTATGTTGAAAAGGAACTTTACAACTTTGGTGGGGCGGGGGGAGGACCAGGTAGGGAGGGGGTATGGGAAGGAATGGGAAGGGGAAACAAAGGAGGAGGCAACAATGCTTGATAAGAAATGTACTCCTTAT